GGTCACCTTGACGACAGTAGTGAATACATCAGAATAGTTTATCCCTACTTTCTACTCATATCCCTTCACTACAAGCCTCACCTTGTAGCGTCTTTGTCCATCGGATTCATCCTTGACCCGATAAATCCATAGATTATTAAGAGCCTTTCACACTCTTGGAAGCTTTACGAGCTCTCAAGTCTCGTTCTTTGTCAAGGATTTCATTTCTTCCTCCATGGCAGACTCTCACTCGCCCCGAGCTTTGTCAATCTACTGTACCTCCTCATAACTCTTCGGCTCATCACTTTCAGTCAAGAGAAGATAATTTATAGTGGAAAGGTGCCTTTCTGGCACCATAGAATTTTATGGAGCTTTGAAAACTGCGATTGGCAGCTCTGCTAGATCCTGCTGCTGTGCATCTAGCATGTTCTCTTGGTCTCCATCTTCTATGCTATCTGGTATCTCATTGTCGTCCTCACTGTTAGAAATATCCTGGAAAAGAGGGGGAGATAGCTGACTTCCACTCACTTATTTGGTCTTGTACACTGCATTCTCATGGAACACGATGTCACGACTACGCACCACTTTGCGCACATCGTAATCCAAGAAATAGTACACATACTCATCTCCTCCATAGCCGATGAAAGAGAGCTTCTTTGAATTTGGATGAAGCTTTAACCGGCCTGTAGGATACATGACATAGAAGTCACAACCAAATACTCGTAAGTGTTCTAGCTTCAACTTCTTTTTGGTCTAAGCCTCTTTGGGTATCCCATAACTGAGAGCCGCGGATGGCCCACGGTTGATCAAGTATGGAGCAGTATTCACAGCATCGATCTAAAAACTCTTGGGCAATCCGGAGTGAATCCTCATACTTCTGGCAGGCTCGAAGATAGTGCGATTCATACGCTCTGTCACTCCGTTATGCTGAGGTGTGCCTAGAACAGTCTTCAGTCTCCTAATCCCATGAGATGGGCAGACTTTCTCAAACTCCTGGCTACAATCCTCATCTCTATTATCAGACTTTAGACACTTTATCTTATTGCATGTTTCGTTCTCCATACATCCAAGCCACTTCTTAAAGATGATGAAAACATCTGACTTGTTCTTTAAGAAGAACACCCATAGTTTTCTAGTAGCATCATCAATGAAAGAGACAAAGTAATGAAAGTTACCAACAAATGGGACTTATGTAGGTCTCCACATGTCGATGTGCACCAACTCTAATTTCTGTAGTTTTGGAGCTGGCCTGGTCTTGTTGAAGCTCACCTTTTTCTGTTTGCCTAAGATACAATCCTTACAGAAAGTCAGATCAATCTTGCTTAGACCCGGAAGCCTCTCTCCCACGGCCATAATCTGCATCCTCTTCTCGCTCATGTGGCCAAGTCATCGATGCCAAGTCATGCAGTCGGCAGATGATGATGATGCTTGTCCTGTGGTAAGAAAGCGGTCGATCTTCCCATTGGTGATGTAGAGAGATCCATCACATTTGTCTGCACTACCACCAGGGAACCCTTGGAAACCTTCCAGCTTCCCTGCTCAAAGGATACTCTGTAACCGGAGTGAGTCAGTTGCTTGATTGATATAAGATTTTGCCCAAGATTCGGTACATGTCGAACATTGTTCAGCGTCAAGGAGGTCCCGCCCTCCATCTTAAGGGTACAATTTCCCTTCTTAGAGACCTTGTAAGGTTGATCGTCACCAAGATAGACTATCCCCGAGTTCTTCTTCACGAACGATGAAAACAGTTTTTGTTTTGAGGTTGCATGGAAAGATGCGCCAGAGTCGATGACCCACACATCGCTCTTGTTTTCAAGAGATAGGATAAGCATATCCGAATCTGTCTCGTGTATAAGATTGGCTGCACCGTCAGCCTAATCATCCCTTGCTAAAGCTGGAGCAGAAGCTCTGCAGTCACGTTCAAAGTGACCCTTCTTTTCACATCTGAAGCACTTCCCTTTACCGTAACCATTCAGGTCTGGCCCTTTAGACTTCCCTCTGGACTTTGATCGGCCTCGTCATCCCCTACCCTTCTTCTACGCATGCCCTCATGTCTCGACATGCAGAGCACTCCCACTGCTAGAGGCCTCAGCTCCTGAGACTTTACGGTAAGATTCTTCATCCAGAATTGCCCCAATCACCATGTCGAGCTTCATCTTGTCATTGCTATTGTCGTTGCTCACCGTTATCACCATATTCTCTCATGAATCTGGTAGACAAGAAATTAGCAGAAGAGATTAGATCTTATTATCAAATTTGAGATCCACTGCAGCAAGCTGTTGCACCACAGATTAAAATTCGTTCAAGAAGTCTGCTACGCGAACTTCTTGTTGTATCTTTAGATTGAATAGCTTCTTCATCGGGTATACCTTATTTGAGGCAGACGACTTCTCATACAACACCTCTAAGGCCTTCATCAACTCCTTGGTGGTGATCGTATGTGAGACGTTGTAAGTCACATGCTGGTGAAGGTTGAGCATAATGGTGGTAAGTACTTTACGATCGAGCACCTTTCACTTATCACCGTCCATCTTCTCAGGTTTCCCACCTCTCCTTGGAGGGGTAGGAAGAGATCCTTCTGATACAAATAGTTTTCTATCTGCATTCTGTAATACCTAAAATTTTGGTCACCGAACTTCTCAATCAGAAGCCTGTTATCTTCAGCTGTAGATCCTATGGCGAAAGATTTCATCTTTCCCAAACCATATGCTCTGGTACCACTTGTTAGAGTACACACCAACAAGAACACCTCAAACGGAGAGGCAAAACACACCAAATGATCTTGGAATCACAGAATAAAACCGGCAAACATGAATTTAATCACAGTACTCACAAATATAATATGGTTCACTCTTACAGAGCTACTCCACGGTACAACGATGATGCCCAATTTTTTTATATTCCTTTCGAGGTTATAAAGGAAAAAGATAAAAGAAAACACCCTCTCTTGATCAAGATACTCTCCAAGAATTCTCACAAACTCTCTCTCAAGATCTCTCAAAAATATTCCTTATATCTATATCTTTCTCTTTCTCTCTCCGCTACTGAGATGCTTTCAAATCAAACTTAGGGGGGTATTTATAAGTTTTCTCATGGGGGTAGGTGAACACTATAGCACGAGGGGGGGGTGTGAACACTGATAAACACTGCTGACTCTTTGATGAGATGGCTATCCACTCTCTCAACAAGAGGAACCTTCATCGGCCAATAAGGTCACACTGTACAAGCTTGCTTATGGGCCAAGTAACTATCATAACTACCTCGCTGTCAGGACAATGACACATTAACTTCATGATTTTTCCCTTGAAAATCCCTATAGATATGCTACCCCCTTCTCAGGTAAGGAGATCATATGATATGCTCAACACCACCAACGTAAATCTATGAACCTTACTCTCAAAACCTAGCCTAAGTACATATTGTCTTCTTCATCAAAAGACTTGGGCATCGAAGGGGTGTTTGTGAACGGCCCATCTTTGACGTATTTTTTATCGTATATAAGACAATCTCATATGTAGCTCACCATAGTGATATAAGACGATTACGGGGCCCTCAATATCGAGTTCAATCTTGTTAACTCAAACTTTAAGTTTTTTCATTGCATGAACAAACATTAGTGTAAACTTCAACCATCTTTGGTCCTAACATGAGTTACCTATTTGATTTATTAGTCTAGTAGTTTTATCCTGCTTTTAAGTTGATGATTTGGAGTAGTTTTACAAATACTTATGTTAGGGGAAGGGGGGGCACATGGTCAGGTCTGAAGCACCAACCGGGTCCGTCGGTCCAAGCACATAGTAAAGATATTGTCCCTAACTTAAACACATTTGGGCCACATGTGTGGTGTTTTAACTTAAAAGGCCTCGTTACTATGTGGAGACAATCCCCCACATATATACCCATGTTGAGTTCTACAATTTTTCCATGTGGGATTAATGGTTTGGACCAACCATTCTCAACAATCTCCACCTTGGTTCAAACCAGTTCACCTTGGTTCCACCTTGAACTAACACCGATCCACCCGGCTCCACCTGGACCTATACCTTAGTCCACCATGAATCCACCTTTGAACTATCCATGTAGATCACCACTCAACATTGTCTGTAAGATTTTCCACCTTTGGTCAATGCACATCTCGAGGTACACCCTATTTCACCTTACTCTAGGAACCTGCACAACCACCTTGACAGCCCCTGGGTGTACGTAGGACTATAGCGACTCCACCTCCGGCTTCTCCGAGTCTAACTCCACCATAGTCTCCACCGAGTCCAGCTACCAGGACGTTTTTTGTAGAGACTCATCACCTTAGGTTCTACCAAGTTCTTCCTGACTCCACCAAGTCTAGCTATCGGTACTGCTTCACAAGTGCGTGGATTCACCATCAAGCTCTGATACCAATTGTTAGTGGGGGGGCACACGGGTCGGGTCCGAAGCACCAACCGGGTCCATCGGTCCAGGCATATAGTAACGATATTGTCCCCAACTTAAACACCTTTGGGCCACAGGTGTAGGGTTTTAACTTAAAAGGCCTCGTTACTATGTGGAGACAATCCCCACTTATATACCCATGTTGAGTTCTATAATTTTTCCATGTGGGATTAATGGTTTGGACCAACCATTCTCAACAACTTAGACGTAAGGATAGGTTTGCAATAGACATGATTTGAAATTATGTATACAATAAAAGTCAATAATAAGCTCTACACCGAGGCAGAACAGGAAGAAAGATCCCAATTCAACTGACCACTAAGGTGTCCAATGTGAAAACCAGAACTTTACGTTTGATATCTCCGCAATTGCATTGATTTGTCAATTGTCAGTACAAAGGTAGTTGAGAGATTTATGGACTTTGATCCCAGTTAGGACTTTCACTTCATACATAGTTTCATGCCTCCCAATAAACGACCACCACCGATTAAATAAAGGTACCTTGTCTGTCGAGCTACAAGTAGAAGTTGCAGCATCTCCTGCTTCACAAAATCGGCTGGTTCCCTAATAAGCCCAACACCGAAACTAACACTTCCCATCTGTGTCGGGCCTCCATCATATAAATTCACACTCAGCACAACTTTCTTGTTAATTTCTCTGACTGAGAAGATAATGGAGCTAGAATTAGGCCTTGCTCTTCCTAACACCAATCTCATACAGAGTTTGGATCTCAACATCGATATCGCCCATTGTCACAAGAAGAGAAGATCGAAACGGGCGTTCTCTCGCAAGGATGGTGATGGCGATGGTGATGGCGGCAACAATGGAGGCAACATAGATCCTGAAGCTCGTAACAACATTACCAAGTAAGACTAATTAGCTGTTGTTTGGTAGTGGAACGTTGAGCGTGAGGCTCACTGTTTACTTTCTCTCCAAAATCCTCGCCAATGAAAGAGAAATTCTAACAAGTATGCCGCTAATGCGACAACAACGATTTCCCGTAACTTCTTTCAAAGCAAACATGACATGACATTTTGATGTTGTCAAAGTTCTTACCATGATACTCATTTCTCGGCAAAATTGTTTATCACAAAAATATTGACATGGATATTTCATAGTACTGTAAAAGCAATATTTATCCAAAATCTTAAACTATTAACGAACAGATTGCAGAAAGCTTCGGTAGGCTGGCCGCCAATCAAATGCAGTAGGAATATATGGGTGAAAGTGAAGATGGAAGGTTTTGCGATTGGAAGGAAGGTGGATCTCTCGCTTCTCAGTTCATATCAAGCTCTCAAGTTCACCCTTCATCGGATGTTTCCAAACAAAAGCTGTGCGTGACCTCGCTATACATTGATTGCAGTGGACACATGCATTATGATTCATGCATGAAATATAATGCAAGTTCAGTTAAAGTTTATCTGAAAATAATTGCAGATGACAACAACAATGGAGACACTGGAAAACAATCGCTGCAAAGTTACATGGTTACGTACGAGGATGAAGAAGGGGATTGGATGCTTGTCGGAGATATCCCATGGGAGTATGTCAATTTCCCTTTTCTATGATTACACTGTCCACACATACACACATACGATACATGAGGATAATTGTATTGTGTTCCAGTCTCTTGACTGATATGATGCTAGTCTGTCACTTATCCGATCTTCATAATTTACATAGTTATGTACATTCATACATGCACACATACATACATATAGAGGGAGGGGGAGAGAGTGTGCTCAGGTAACATAAGTGAAGTTCTATACAAACAATTTAACTAATCATTCTAAATGATGAAGGGCTATGAACATCTCTCAATCTTATTGCCGTCTCTCAGATTTTATGCAAAAATAAAGCCTAAAAAATTAGCACAGAACGTATGAGCAGCAACCAAAAATGTGATACTAATTCTGCATAGACCATCAGTTAGTCGAATCTACATCATAATCTGCATGAAAACCTTCTTGTTTTTTTGTGAATTGACCTGAATATCCATAATATTTCAGCATGGCAGAGCACAAAAATAATCAAATAACAATTGAGAAATTTGCATATGATTGTTGATAGATTAGGATGGAGTCTTTGTTTGAAAAATTAGGATCATCATCTTATGGATCCTACGCTCCGTCCTTTTCTCAAGACCAAATGCAATGCTTCCGGTACTTAGTCTCACTTCTTCGTGCACCTTAATTCCTAATACTCATAAAATCAGCTAGTGATAGGTAATTGTCGCACAACACAATCTCTGCCATCTTATAAGTTACCTACTATATTCATCATATAATAATATCATTAGTGTTATACATAAGTTTTTGTCTTAAATTCTGTAACAGGACTTTCATCCGGTCAGTGAAGCGTATCAAGATACTTGGGAATTAATCATGCTGATAGCAGAGATTTCAGTATTCTGTTTTCTTGAATCCATGTAATACTCCAGACTAGGTTGTACCTTTTAACCTTCTCAATATCCCTGCAGGAGGTTACAACTAAAGAAGCTAACACTTTGTAATACCTGCAATACTTTCTTATCTTTTCTTTTCTTGCTATAATGTGCAAGGAAAAGTAAAAAATTGTTTCGATGTCAGAAAATAGCCCTATCAAGAACCTTAAGTAATTGGATCGTGAACTACCAATTAAAATATATATGGAGATATTCAAAAGAAAATTAATACATATACGGAGCTCATCATTATTTAAAACAACCTTATGATATGACATTAACGTATAAGAGGGGGACGACATGCATTTTTCGTTTCCAATTATCATTAGAACTCAGGCTGCTTGCTTCAAACAAGTACTCATTTATAACTCGATATCAAAGGCATGCAGGTCTTTTGGAATCAGGAACCATAAGCGAACAACAAGAAATGGAACTAATAAATTCTTTCTTTTTGGATCTCAGTTCATCGACGCAAAGGACAATATGTTAACAGGCTTACAAACATTGTCAACAACTCGAGTCTAAATTGTCCATAGATCTTAATTTACAAGAATATAATTGATAAAAAGTTCAAAAATAAACATGTATATTATATTCTTCCAACACCACAAGATGAAATTGTATATGCACACTCTCATCCCTCTTTACATGTTCTTATTGTCTCCAATAAATTTAACAATAGGATAATGCAATAATGATACTGATTTAACAAGGCCAACGAATAAGAAACCTACCGGGATAGATTTTTTTCTCTATAGTTTCTTTAGACATTGTCTTTGGTTTGAATAGCTAGGTAGACACAATATTTTCTATATTTCGAGACTGAATAATAAAAAATAAAATAAAATGTGGTAGTTAAATACGAATCAACATATATTTATCCCTTATGCCATCAAATCAAAAGGATAAATTTCCCAACCGACGCCNAAACTTTTCCTGGGAACGGCCTAACTATCATAGTTCAACAAGCTGCACAGCCAAAATAATAGCTGGCGATCATTAGGAGGTCTATTGGTAAATCTGAAGTTTACTGTGGTTTTGCGAGATACCGAAGAATTCTGGGGGTCCCACGAAACACCAAAAAAGTTTAGCAGGGTTTTGTGAAATTACTCAAAACAAAATACAACTCAAAGGATGGCTGACAGGATTCATCAAACATCGGCCCTACACAGAGAAGTATAACGTCATGTTCAATTCAAACTGACCAGCATCAAATGGATACATATTCTCTGCTTTATTCTGAATTGGGTCTTGTCTTAATCTTGTTACCTTTAGTATTCATCTTCGCACAAAGCATAAATTCTCCCAAATTGCAACAAGAGCAAAGGGAATGTAAACACATATTAAAAAAAGCAAATGGTATTTATATATATTCGTCTTTATTTAATCAGAATCAAGAGCTGAAATAAACAAGAAAAATAAGAGAAAAAGGTAGAATTTGGCTTACTCGGTTCTCTGGAAGCAAAATAAGATTCATGGTCTTCCAAAGGTCCACCACAGTTAGAGCTGAAAATATCTTGATAATAAATGTTTAATAAATAATTATAGAAATAATGCTCTTCTCTCTTTTCAATATGGGACCTAGGTGTTGGAAATTGTGGTTAAATCTGGAATTAAACAGTAAAATTATGATGTGCTCTAATTTTAAATTTTTTTAGTCCACTGTTGTGCGTTTGAGAAATGTTATGTTTAAAGCAATATTTGGCCAACTCCAGTGTAAGGATCCCAATGCCAAACTGCTTCCAGGAACAGCAACACAGTACTCTGTTATGCACCAACCCAGTACTGTAAAGATCTCCTCGATCTATAAGACCTTTCGGTCAAAGCAAAGATCTACTCGATCTCAGAAACTTTCGGTTCAAAACAAAGATCTCATCGATCTCAGAACCTTTCGGTTCAAAAACTTTCGGTTTAAGGGCAAGTTCTTACGGGCACAGTTTCTGCAACAGCAGCACAACAGAAACAACGACGTCGATCCGACGTTTGTTTTCTAAGCTCGCGTGTGTATACCCGACGTTCGTATTCCACACTCGCGAGAGTATGTTCATGAGCTGCCCAAGGGCGCTATTTATAGGCCTCTAAAATCAGCTCAAGAGTCAATCGCAATTAATATGACTGTTACAATTCTCAATGGTAATTAAGATTGGAACATCAATGCATTAAATTGGTCTAAATGCTATTATAAATGTTGCATGCAATAACTCCTAAATACGAGGTAATCAATGGACGCGTTGTTACGAAACGCGAGGGCCACGATTCAGCAAATCAGACGAACCTCGTTTGAGCCTTAGCCCGATTAGCCCCGATCATCGGTCCATTGGCTCACGGCCCCCGGCCCCTTGCCCACGGCCCATGACCCACGACCCACTAGAACTTATGAGGGATTAATTCAAATAAAATACTTCTCGACTTGTCTTTGGCAAGCCTCGAACAAGGAATCTTTTGAAACACCAAAATATTAACTTTCCACTAGGCTATTAAGCATTTATAAAAAGTACTTGTGGTTAATATATATACTTTGAAAACTTATTTTGGAAAGCAGTTTTAACCAAAAAAATTCAACAATCTCCCACAAGTTTTTAAACTAGTATCGTGTTATAGTGTCGTCGTTTCAATCGTTGTGTATAAGGTAGATATCGCAAGGACTTAAATCCCCTTTAGACCAACTAAATAGAAGATAGATGAATGGTGTCACAGAGACTTGAACCAGTACATATCTAAAATCTAGCGATCACACAAGATTAAACTCATCTGTGATAGTTTTCACTTTGAACCACATTTTTCTTTGCCTTTGCATATTTATGGCCCTGTGCATGTCCTGGGTTCTGCTATGGCTCTAGGTATCTTTCCATAAGACACCATAGGAGACGACCAAATCTCCACCCAGGCATTAGTGAGTTATTTAGGCATGTTTCCTATCAAACATCCCGTATCCGAAATGCTTTGAACTCATTAAGGCTTAAGAGTCATCCTCTCTCACGATAGGATTCTAGGTGAATCCTTTACGTGTGTTTCCTATCTAACACCCCGTATCCGAAATGCTTTGGACCCATTAAGGCTTAACAGCCAACCTCTTTACATGATAGGATTATCGGTGAGTCCTTTAGGTATGTTACCTATCCAACTTCCCGCATCCGAAATGCTTTGGACTCATTAAGGCTTAACAACCTACCTCTTTACATGATAGGATTTCACTTATAAATCTTACTTGACTTTTGAACCAATCATCTTGTAATTAGTAGCGTAAACTTTGAACTAATAACTTGACAAAATGGTAAGTGTTTGTAAGACTGACCAAACTTTGCAAATCTTACTTGACTTTTGAACCAGTTATCTTTATTATTAGTAGCGTAAGCTTTGAACTAATAATTGGATGAACATGGTAAGTATTTATAAGACTCACAAAACTTTGAGACCCATTGTAACAGACGTCATTTTGACTATGTCCTTTTTCAGACCTTTAGTCAAAGGATCAGCTGCATTCTCTGAAGATCGAACGTCAATCATCGAGATGAGTCCTTGGAAAATAAGTTCTCTCAAATAGCCATGCTTCAGACAAAGATCCCCTTCTTTCTATTGAACAACGAGTTCGCTGTCACAGCACCTATTGCTTGACTATCACAATAGATTGTAATTACGCCTTGTAATTCTGTCAATGGAAGGTCTCGGAGAATACAACTGAGCCAATCAGCTTCATCTCCTGCAGCATATAGTACAAAGAACTCAGATTCCATCGATGACTATGCAATCATAGTTTGCTTCTTAGATTTCCACAAGATGGTAGCTCCGCCCATGGTGAATGTAGGCATCTAAAAATGCCTATAGGTTCCTGCACGCGGATCGAGACAGAGAGATGATGATGAATGTCACTATCTGAGTCACAAAAGCTTATTTGACGTTGATAAGCATATAAAGTGAGTCAACGAACTGTGTGAAGCAACAGAACTTCAGAATAGCGAAAACACGAACTGATCGGGAGCTACACTTCTTTTACGAAAGACGAAGGGCTCTTCATATCCCGTCTTCTCCATGTATAATCCAACTATAGGAGCTTGTAGATCTCCTCGTCAGCTTTCCTACGCACTTTGAATCACATAATTCCGAATTCGGACGGCAAAGATACGGGGGAAACGGACAAAATACACGAAAAAATGCTCTAGGCCTCAGCGAGACACCCTCAGGTGTCTCGGCCAGGCCGAGACACCCGCGGGTGTCCACACTCCCGAAACCCAATTTTTGGCAGTTTTAAGCTATTTTTCGACGTTAACCACCTAGATTTATTCCAACTGATCTGAATCTATCCAAAAACGTGATGAAATGGTTACAACTGAAGATAAGAGTGAATCGATCGTTCTTATCTAAAAACAGAGGTCCCAAAACCTATAAATACAGTCCCAGGGCCTTCATTTTTTTAGATCTAGAATTCTCGAGCGTTGGAGAAGCCCTAATGAACTGAAGACTGAATAAGCACGAATTTCAAAAGAGAGGAGGAGATCGGATCGAGTTCGTCAGCATGAAGAAAAGGAGATCGTCAGATCCATAGTTCCCGGTTCCTTTCCTTAAGATTGCCTCATTGTGGTGATCTCGAGAAGAGTGATTTTCTTGCTATTGCCAAGATAATTACATCGGTTTCTTGATTCCTTCACTAATCAACAAAGCTTCGGATCTGATCTGATCGTTTGGTAGTCCATAGATATCAACATCCCCGTCACAGGCCAAGATCTCACGCAAGCAGCGGAAGATAAATGTCCGTTGTGTTTGTTTTGACGAGAGTTATATTTTTTTCATTTTTATTGTGTAAGAGTCTTATAAAAAGACTATCTTTTTTTATTTTTATTGTAACGACTGAAGTTGTAATAAATACATAAATGAAGACATCAGCTTTCTCCCTAAACAAGCTGGCGACCACAGTGGGAGCCAACAGCTTCGCTGCTGAAGCTGTCGTGCCGTAACTAGCGATCAAGATCCTGGTGAACGAAGAGGTCGAATACGAATTCGAGCAGAAGAAATTCGAAGAATATATCTCTTCCTCCTCCTCTAGATCTGCCTCTCCTCGCAAGCGCAGGAAGGCCTCCTCTTCCGAAAGAGCTCACGGGACTTCGGGCTCGAAGATACAAGATCCCCTCGTTGCCGCTACGCTTACACCTTGCGACATCCCTCCAATGTCCAAAAAGGCCAAAGCTGTAGACCTAGGCCTCCCCTCCATCGAAGTGTTAGCTGTTGAAGGTGCGTCGACTCTATCGAAGAGAGCGCGCTAAAGGCGATGCTAACGTCTTGCGCGTCAACTCACTAAGGCTTTGAAGCCAATGGACAGGATCCGCTACGATGTGGATCTAAAATCCAGGAAGCGCCAAGAACAACAACGGCAATCGAGCAACCCCTCCTCCAAAGCAGAAAAGAATGAATGGGTCCGCGTCAAAAGGACCTACTCTACCCTTAAGGAGCGAATCCAGAAGCGCCGTACATTACTTGCGCACGCCTGAGTCCTTGTGCGGAAAGCACAAGAAATGCAGAAGGAAGAGGCGGTCAGAAAATCGCCCAAACAGAAATGGGTTTGGATGCCAAAGGTCAACGCCTAAGGCAAAAGCAGACGAAGTTACCATTCCACCTTCGTCAACTCCGGATCCCACTCCTCTTGGTAGTGTGGACCTCACCAAATTCAGAGTTTCTCTAAAAGACCGCCTTGGTCCTCTCCCCAAAGATCGAGTTAAAGCACCTATTAGACCATCTCCAACGCAGCGGCATTTTGAGGCGAAAAGTGAAAATGCCGCTGCGTGGGAGCTCCAATCGAGCGGCATTTGTTGCCGCATTTTGACGGGGATGAACAGCGCGACGCTATATTTGGCGTCGCACTGTTCATCCCCCATTACTGTTTTTTTTTATTTTTTTATTTTTAAAATTTAACAGACATTATTATTAATTATAATATTAAAATCTAGACATACATAATATAAAACTTCATTAAAGAGCAATCATAATACATAATTCAAATATAAATTACATATCTGAAATACATAACATATAAAAACTGACACACATAATATAAAACTTCATTAAAATAAAACATAAAATACAAACTAAACATGGTGACGTTACTTAAGATGGACAAGCAACTCTCAATAATCTGGTAGATCGGGGCCAGAGTGTCCAATATCATTAAAATAATTGCCAAAATTAGAAGCAGACCCTTGTTCTTGTTGATTTCTTTTTTGTATTATTTTAATCTGTTGAGCTCGAACGTACTCCCGTACGTTTGGATCAGCAAAGGAATTCAAATCTTTCATTATAATTTTCCATTCATCTCTATCTTTTTTCATGGCTATCTTTTCTCGTTCGATATCAAATGCTTCTTGCCTGTCCAAGCTCGCCTTGTCTAACCTGTCTATAAGTCGATTGTTGGAGGTCTCGATGGAGTCCACTACACTTGACTCATGATCATCATTTTTCCTTTTCAATTTAGCTTTTTTTACCCCAATAGGTCGTTCAGATGGAGTAAATGATGACAATCCAGGAGATGTTGATATAGGAGATTCCGGAGTGGGATTATCTGATTGTGACGAGTCGAAGTTCACACTTTGGGATTGTCTTCGACCAACTTGTCTTGCTGTGGGGACATCATCTTTGAATTTTTCGAAATTTTTAACCATATTCCAGACATGATCAAATTTGAAACCTTTTTTGTACTTCGGTTCTTGCATAAAACATCTTTGCTCGAACTAACTGTAAATTATAGTGAACATCAAGTTATGTATTTCAACAATAATAATAAAATTCAAACGATAATTAATAGAATACTTACAATATCTTCATCTGAAGCACCACTTGGATTCAGATTCTCTACTTGTCTCAAGCACGCATTCAATTTCCTTACTTCATTACTTATAATTTCCATTCGAGAACGAATTGATCGGCTCGTACGCACATCAGAATTTTGGTCTCGAAGTTCATTGTATCTGTCCTCCACACGAGACCAAAATGCATCTCGAGACTGGTTTCTACCGATAATAGGGTCTTGAGAAATATCCAAGAATACTTGACAAAGGAGCACATCTTCAGTAACCGTGTATCCAGTTGATCGAACAGACATTTTTTTGTAAAAAGTGGTTGATTTGGAGATCAGAAATACTTTGAAGAAATACTTCGAATTGGGTGGCTTGAAGTAGAAACCGTGAATGTTATTTATAGCCAATCCAAATTTGTTTTTTTTGTTTGAATTTGAATTTGCTGTTGGTTTGAATTTGTCGGTGGTCAACATTTGAAATTGAATCATTTTGTACAAACTGATCAGCTTTACACATTATCCAACGTTGTCGGTGGGAATCAATTTTTGAAATCAGGTCAGCTTTGCACATTGTCCAACGTATACACAGCTCAGCTCTCCTTGAATTGTGTGAAAGCTTTGTACGAGTGGGAATTAATTTTTGAAATCAGGTTAGCTTTACACATTGTCCAACGTATACACATATCAGCTCTCCTTGAATTGTGTGAAAGCTTTGTACGAGTGGGAATCAATTTTTGAAATCTGTCAGCTTTACACATTGTCCAACGTATACACAGCTCAGCTCTCCTTGAATTGTGTGAAAGCTTTGTACGAGTGGGAATCAATTTTTGAAATCTGTCAGCTTTACACATTGTCCAACGTATACACAGCTCAGCTCTCCTTGAATTGTGTGAAAGCTTTGTACGAGTGGGAATCAATTTTTAAAATCAGGTCAGCTTTACACATTATCCAACGTATACACAGCTCAGCTCTCCTTGAATTGTGTAAAATACTATTGTACGAGTGGGAATCAATTTTTGAAATCAGGTCAGCTTTACACATTGTCCAACGTATACACAGCTCAGCTCTCCTTGAATTGTGTGAAAGCTTTGTACGAGTGGGAATCAATTTTTAAAATCAGGTCAGCTTTACACATTGTCCAACGTATACACAGCTCAGCTCTCCTTGAATTGTGTGAAAGCTTTGTACGAGTGGGAATCAATTTTTGAAATCAGGTCAGCTTTACACATTGTCCAACGTATACACAGCTCAGCTCTCCTTGAATTGTGTGAAAGCTTTGTACGAGTAGGAATCAATTTTTGAAATCAGGTCAGCTTTACACATTGTCCAACGTATACACAGCTCAGCTCTCCTTGAATTGTGTGAAAGCTTTGTACGAGTGGGAATCAATTTTTGAAATCAGGTCAGCTTTACACATTGTCCAACGTATACACAGCTCAGCTCTCCTTGAATTGTGTGAAAGCTTTGTACGAGTGGGAATCAATTTTTAAAATCAGGTCAGCTTTACACATTGTCCAACGTATACACAGCTCAGCTCTCCTTGAATTGTGTGAAAGCTTTGTACGAGTGGGAATCAATTTTTGAAATCAGGTCAGCTTTACACATTGTCCAACGTATACACAGCTCAGCTCTCCTTGAATTGTGTGAAAGCTTTGTACGAGTGGGAATCAATTTTTGAAATCAGGTCAGCTTTACACATTGTCCAACGTATACACAGCTCAGCTCTCCTTGAATTGTGTGAAAGCTTTGTACGAGTGGGAATCAATTTTTAAAATCAGGTCAGCTTTACACATTGTCCAACGTATACACAGCTCAGCTCTCCTTGAATTGTGTGAAAGCTTTGTACGAGTGGGAATCAATTTTTGAAATCAGGTCAGCTTTACACATTGTCCAACGTATACACAGCTCAGCTCTCCTTGAATTGTGTGAAAGCTTTGTACGAGTGGGAATCAATTTTTAAAATCAGGTCAGCTTTACACATTGTCCAACGTATACACAGCTCAGCTCTCCTTGAATTGTGTGAAAGCTTTGTACGAGTGGGAATCAATTTTTGAAATCAGGTCAGCTTTACACATTGTCCAACGTATACACAGCTCAGCTCTCCTTGAATTGTGTGAAAGCTTTGTACGAGTGGGAATCAATTTTTAAAATCATGTCCAACAGCATGGTCTGGGCAATACACAGGACGTAGTGGGTCACCAACTATTATCCTCGAAGCTATGGCAGATTATGATCTTTGGATATGGCACGCATATTTTGGTATGCCAGGCACCAATAATGATATCAATGTGGTGGAGTCATCTAATCTTTTCTCTAACCTAGCTCAAGGTATTGCTCCTCCCGTTTACTATGTTATTCAAGGAAAAGAGTATAATATGGGTTATTATTTAGCTGATGGTATATATCCGAAATGGGCTACTATTGTACAAACAATCCAACAGCCACAAGGTAGGAAGAAAAAATATTTTGCCATGAAACAGGAAGCATGTAGAAAAGATGTAGAACGTGCGTTCGGAGTTCTCCAATCACGATTTGCAATCGTGGCAGGATCAGCACGTTTTTGGAAAAAACATGTATTACATGACATAATGACTGCATGCATTATTATGCACAATATGATAATCGAGGATGAACGTGATCTTTATGCACCAATTCAAGAAGTGAGGGAAGCACCAACACCAGAAGTTGATATGGTAGCAGATGAAACTACAAGATTTACTCAATTTATTACACGTTACGGAAAAATCAAGGATAAAGATGCCCATATTGCGCTTCGTAATGCATTGATAGATCATCTATGGGAGGAATACACTAATTCAGATAGTTAAGAGCATACTAAATTTGTAATTTTTACGTTGTTGTTAATGTTTAATTATGTTCTTACATTTTATTTTCTGTTGTGTTCTTGAATGTAATATTTTGGCAATATTAATAATAGGTATATAATATTTTATTGTTTTATTAGTTTAATTTTTAAAATAATAAATCATTTTGTTTGGAAAATATGTGAAAAAATAAAATTTGATATGTGAGGTTAATTGTTGAAATAGTTAAAAATATAGGGGATAAAAAATAATCATATAAAAGTAGATAAAAAGAAAGATACTGAGAATATTCCTTTTTGGTGCAAAAAATGGTGCAATGGGTTGGAGATGAATTACTGTTAGATGTGACTTTTGCACCATTTTGGTGCAAAATTTGCACCATTTTGAGGCAAAGGGTTGGAGATGCCCTTAAGGAGTGATTGGGACAGTTGAAAGGCTCCCAAACAACCATTCTGGCTGGGGGTCGTACTAATCTCCCAAATAATAATAAAGGGAAGACTCTTATGACCGACCGTATCAGATTGCGAGTCGAAGTTCAAGAGCCCATTAGAGTTTCACACTCACAAAGGCGTAAATCTGAACGAGTAACTCTTGGAGATGCCAATGAACCGTCGTATCGCCAGAGGGAAACGTGTTCGTCTGATGACGATGTTATACCTGGGAAGTCATGCTAACACACGATGGGTTGCTTTGGTCATAAGGCCAATGAGTTATACTATCAGGCCGGGGGTACGAATAAGTCTCAGAAGAGAAATACCCAAGAAACGAACTTTTATTATCCGTGTGTGAAAATCATCAAGGCAGTTTTGTCAGAATACAGCTGCCACGAGACCACTCCCAGAGGGTCTCTGTATTTGAACGAATCTCTACTGAAATGTCTGAACCAAAGATGAGGTGTTTCCGCAGAAGAAGGCTAACTGATCCTAAACCTTTTGCAGAAGTATCCCAGTGCATGACTTAGCTGCGGTCTGGAACTATCAGACCTAGACCCAGGAGGGCACGGTCCTCGGATGACAAAACGTCAGATGTTTGCTCTACATTAGCTTCTGACGATACAGCATCCAGTGCAGGGCAATCTTATGAATCATTCATGATTAATGTCGAGCAAATGGTTAAAATTCTCAAGGACGCTTTAGCCAAGCAGAAAGAGAATTTTAAATTCGAGATGGAAATGGCCATGCAGGAGATGAAGGATATGAATAGTCAACAAATAGTGACGCTGACAAATCAGCAAGGGGAATCCAACCGTCGTAATAATCCTAACCCAGTTGATAGTGATCGGGAGGCGGACGAGAATACCAACATGGATCCCCCTCCTGTTGACAACAATACCGGGGGTAGTCCCTCGAATGATAACAATACAAAGGAGGACCACGTCACTTCTCCCCGGAATCGCTTGAAGAAAGATACGAGCGAGGATAAGAAGATGAGGGACTTGGAGAGCAAAATCAATGCGTTGATGAGCGCTCAAGAAGTAAAGAAGTCTGAAATACTCTGTCCTTACCTAAGAGAGTGGGAATCAATCTCGTACCCAGCAAAGTTTAATTTGATCAACTTCACATCGTTTGACGGAAAGGGTTCTCCCACTCAGCACTTAATATATTTCAAGTCTCGTTTAGGAATAATCTCCGAAAGTGAGCCCTTGATGGTACGATCATTCGTTGGCACTCTTCGTGGAACAGCCTTCGATTAGTATCGTCATCTTAAGTCGGGAAGTATCAGCAGTTGGGACGACATGGAAGACATGTTTCTCACAAATTTCTTTGAAAAAAACACTGAGGTTTCAATCGAAACGTTATTCGATGGAAAGCAGAAGGATGGAGAGTTAGTCAAAAATTTTGTCAAACGATTCCGGAACAAAGCTATGAATTGTAGAGATCCGGTCAGTGAAGACTTTATCCTAGAAACTTATCATAACAATCTTTCCTTGGATATCCTCAAAGATATGGGAATGGCGCCATCCAAGACTTGGAAGGATTTGAAGGTCCGAGGAGAACGAGCCGAATGCTTCCTCAAAAGGAAGAAGGCTGAAAGAGGTCAAACGGCGACAAATACTCCACAACAGAATTTTGTCCCTTGGGGAAAAGGAAAAGCACAAGTGAACGCAATGGACGTAAACCAAACGTTCGAGCTGCAAGCGCAACCACAACCGCAACAACAGCAGTAAATAGTGCCTCAGCAGTCGCCTTGGCAACAACTGCCCCAAAAGCAGAAGGCTTCGGAACCCAAATTCCTAAAGGTTTATTCTTTTAAAGAAGACGAGGTCCCCAATATTTTTAAATACCTCATAGAGAACAACAAGATCAAGTTGCCTCTGATCCAGGATTAGGAAGACGCCAAAAGGGTTAATGACCTAAAATATTGTGTGTTCCANAGTCATGCTATACCCTCAAAGGCAAGGTCCAAGCTTTGATTGATGTTGGGGTCATTACGATGAAACCATCTAAAGAGAAGACGGTAGGTGCAAACGTAATATCGATCAGCTT